AGTAATGTCAAGAAGAGAGTAGCGTCAAGAAGAGAGTAATGTCAAGAAGAGAGTAGCGTCAAGAAGAGAGTAGCGTCAAGAAGAGAGTGTCAAGAAGAGAGAAGGTCAAGAAGAGAGTAGGATCAAGAAGAGAGAATGTCAAGAAGAGAGCAAAGGTCAAGAAGAGAGTAATGCAAGAAGAGAGTAGCGTCAAGAAGAGAAGGTCAAGAAGAGTGTCAAGAAGAGAATAGTCAAGAAAGAGAGTAGGGTCAAGAAGAAGAGTAGTGTTGAGAAGAGAGGAAGGTCAAGAAGAGAGTAATGCTCGAAGAAGAGAGTAGCGTCAAGAAGAGAGAAGCGTCAAGAAGAGAGTAATGTCAAGAAGAGGAAGGCCAAGAAGAGAGTAATGTCGAAGAAGAGAGTAAATGTCAAGATGAGAGAGCGTCAAGAAGAGAGTAGTCAAGAAGAGAGTATGGTCAAGAAGAATTAGGAGTCAAAGAAAGTGAAAGGCCAAGAAGAGAGTAGGGTCAAGAAGAGGGGTCAAGAAGAGAGAATGTCAAGAAGAGAGAAGGTCAAGAAGAGTGTCGCGTCAAGAAGAGAGTAATGTCAAGAAGAGAGTAGCGTCAAGAAAAGAGTAGCGTCAAGAAGAGAGTAATGTCAAGAAGAGAGTAGGGTCAAGAAGAATTTAGAGTAAAAAGAAAGTAGCGTCAAGAAGAGAGTAGGGTCAAGAAGAGTGTGGCGTCAAGAAGAGAGTAGGGTCAAGAAGAGAGTAATATCAAGAAGAGCGTAGCGTCAAGAAGAGAGTAATGTCAAGAAGAGAGTAGGGTCAAGAATAATGTAGAGTAAAAAGAAAGTAGCGTCAAGAAGAGAGTAGGGTCAAGAAGAGTGTAGCGTCAAGAAGAGAGTAGCGTCAAGAAGACAGTAGCGTCAAGAAGAGAGTAATGTCAAGAAGAGAGTAGCGTCAAGAAGAGAGTAGGGTCAAGAAGAGTGTGGCGTCAAGAAGAGAGTAATGTCAAGAAGAGTGTAGCGTCAAGAAGAGAGTAGCGTCAAGAAGAGAGTAGCGTCAAGAAGAGAGTAATGTCAAGAAGAGAGTATGTCAAGAAAGAGAGAAAATAAGAAGAGGTGGCGTCAAGAAGAGAGTAATGTCAAGAAGAGAGTAATGTCAAGAAGAGAGTAATGTCAAGAAGAGAGTAGCGTCAAGAAGAGAGTAATGTCAAGAAGAGTGTAGCGTCAAGAAGAGAGTAATGTCAAGAAGAGAGTAGGGTCAAGAAGAATGTAGAGTAAAAAGAAAGTAGCGTCAAGAAGAGAGTAGGGTCAAAAGAGTGTGACGTCAAGAAGAGAGTAGGGTCAAGAAGAGTGTGGCGTCAAGAAGACAGTAATGTCACGTAGAGAGTAGCGTCAAGTAGAGAGTAATGTCAAGAAGAGAGTAGGGTCAAGAAGAATGTAGAGTAAAAAGAAAGTAGCGTCAAGAAGAGAGTAGGGTCAAAAGAGTGTGACGTCAAGAAGAGAGTAGGGTCAAGAAGAGTGTGGCGTCAAGAAGAGAGTAATGTCAAGATGAGAGTAGCGTCAAGAAGAGAGTAATGTCAAGAAGAGAGTAGGGTCAAGAAGAATGTAGATTAAAAAGAAAGTAGCGTCAAAAAGGGAGTAGGGTCAAGAAGAATGTGGCGTCAAGAAGAGAGTAATGTCAAGAAGAGAGTAGCGTCAAGAAGAAAGTAATGTCAAGAAGATAGTAGCGTCAAGAAGAGAGTAATGTCAAGAAGAGAGTAGCGTCAAGAAGAGAGTAATGTCAAGAAGAGTGTAGGGTCAAGAAGAATGTAGAGTAAAAAGAAAGTAGCGTCAAGAAGAGAGTAGGGTCAAGAAAAGTGGCGTCAAGAAAATGAGGATGTCCAAAGAGAGTAGCGTCAAGAATAGAGTAATGTCAAGAAGAGAGTAGGGTCAAGAATAATGTAGAGTAAAAAGAAAGTAGCGTCAAGAAGAGAGTAGTGTTAAGATGAGTGTGTGGTCAATGAAAGTGTAGCGTCAAGAAGAGAGTTGCACCAAAAGAGAGTAGAGTCAAGGAGAGACTAACATCTAGTAGAGAGCACCGTCAAGAAGAAGGTAGGGTCAAGAAGAGAGTAAAATCAGATAGAGGGCAGCGTCAAGAAGAGAGTTGGATCAAGAAGATAATTGTATCAGGAAGAGTGTAGAGTCAAGAAGAGAGTAGGGTTAAGAAAAGTGTATCATAAAGAAGAGAGTAGAGACAACGAGAGCGTAATGTTTAGAAGAGAGTAGCATCTGGATGAGAGTAAGCTCAAGGAGAGAGTAGGATCTTGAAGAATGTAACGTCATGAAGAGAGTAGGCTCAACAGTAGAGTAGCGTCAAAAAAGAGTAGTATCAAGAAAAAATTAGTGTCAAAAAGAGAGTAGCGTCAAAAAGAGCATAGGCTCACGAAGTGAGTAAATTCAAGGAGTGTAGAGACAAGGAGAGAGTAACGTCTAGTAGAGAGCAGAGTAGAATCAAGAAGAGAATGGCATCAAGAAGAATGAAGTGTCAAGAAGATAGTAGCGTCCAGAAGAGAATAGCAACAAGAAGAGAGTAGGGTCAAGGAGAGAGTAGCGTTCAGAAAAGTGTAGGGTCAAGAAGAGAGTAGGGTCAAGGAGAGAGTAGCGTTCAGAAGAGTGTAGGGTCAAGAAGAGAGTAGGGTCAAGGAGAGAGTAGCGTTCAGAAGAGTGTAGGGTCAAGAAGAGAGTAGGGTCAAGGAGAGAGTAGCGTTCAGAAGAGTGTAGGGTCAAGGAGAGAGTAGCGTTCAGAAGAGTGTAGGTTCAAGAAGAGAGTAGGGTCAAGGAGAGAGTAGCTTTCAGAAGAGTGTATGGTCAAGGAGAGAGTAGCGTTCAGAAGATTATAGGGTCAAGAAGAGAGTAGGGTCAAGGAGAGAGTAGGGTCAAGGAGAGAGTAGCGTTCAGAAGAGTGTAGGTCAAGAAGAGAGTAGGGTCAAGGAGAGTATGTCAGAAGAGTGTAGGGTCAAGGAGAGAGAAGTGTCAAGAAGAGTGTAGGGGTCAAGAAGAGAGAAGGGTCAAGGAGAGAGAGTAGCGTTCAGAAGAGTAGGGTCAAGAAGAGAGTAGGGTCAAGGAGAGAGTAGCGTTCAGAAAAGTGTAGGGTCAAGAAGAGAGGAGGGTCAAGGGAGAGAAGTTCAGAGAGACTGTAGGGTCAAGAAGAGAGGAGGGTCTAGCGAGAGTAAAGGAGAGCAGGGTCAAGGAGAGAGAAGCGTTCAGAAGAGTGTAGGGTCAAGAAGAGAGAAGGGTCAAAGAGAGAGTAGCGTTCAGAAGAGTGTAGGGTCAAGGAGAGAGAAGCGTTCAGAAGAGTGTAGGGTCAAGAAGAGAGAAGGGTCAAGGAGAGAGTAGCGTTCAGAAGTGTGTAGAGTCAAGAAGAGAGTAGGGTCAAGGAGAGAGTAGCGTTCAGAAGAGTGTAGGGTCAATAAGAGAGTAGTGTCAAGGAGAGAGTAGCGTTCAGAAGAGTGTAGGGTCAAGAAAAGAGTAGGGTCAAGGAGAGAGTAGCGTTCAGAAAAGTGTAGGGTCAAGAAGAGAGTAGGGTCAAGGAGAGAGTAGCGTTCAGAAGAGTGTAGGGTCAAGGAGAGAGAAGCGTTCAGAAGAGTGTAGGGTCAAGAAGAGAGAAGGGCCAAAGAGAGTAGCGTTCAGAAGAGAGTATGGCCAAGAAGAGAGTAGGGTCAAAAGAGAGAAGCGTTCAGAAGAGCGTAGAGCAAGAAGAGAGTAGGGGCTGGAAGAGAGAGAAGTGTTCAAAGATTGTAGGGGTCAATAAGAGAGAGAAAAGAGAGAGTATGGTCAAGGGAGAGAGAAGTTCAGAAGAGTGTAGGGTCAAGAAGAGAGTAGGGTCACGAGAGAGAAGTGTTCAGGGAAGAGTGTAGGGTTACAAAGAGAGAGGGGTCAAGGAGTGAGTAGCGTCTAGAAGCGTGTATGGTCAAGAAGAGAGTAGGGGCAGGAGAGAGAACCAGGGGAGAGTTTAGGGTCAAGTGAAGAGAATAGGGCCGAAGGAGAGAGAAAAGCATGAAGAGTGTAGGGTCAAGAAGAGTAGGGGTCAAGGAGGGAGAAGCGTTCAGAAGCGTGTATGGTCAAGAAGAGAGAAAAGGGAGAGAAACCGTTCAGGAGAGTGTAGGGGTCAAGAAGAGAATAGGGTCAAGGAGAGAGTAGCGTCAAGAAGAGTGTAGGGTCAAGAAGATAGAAGGGTCAAGGAGAGAGTTCAGGGTCAAGAAGAGTGAGGAGGGTCAAGAAGAGAGTAGGGTCAAGAAGATTGTAGGGTTCAAGAAGAGAAGGGTCAAGAGAGAGTAGGGTCAAGGAGAGAGAAGAGTCAAGAAGAGTGTAGGGTCAAGAAGAGGTAGGGTCAAGGATAGAGTAGGGTCAAGGAGAGAGGTCGTTAGAAAGGTGTAGGGTCAAGAAGAGAGTAGGGTCAAGGAGAGAGTAGCGTTCAGAAGAGTGTAGGGTCAAGAAGAGAGTAGGGTCAAGGGTCAGAGAGAGTAGGGTCAAGAAGAGAGGAGAAGCGTTCAGAAGAGTAGGGTCAAGAAGAGAGTAGGGTCAAGGAGAGAGTTCAGAAGCGTTCAGAAGAGTGTAGGGTCAAGAGAGACCAGGGTCAAGGAGAGAGTAGGTTCAAGAAGAGAGTAGCGTTCAGAAGTAATGTCAAAAGGATAGAGTAGGGTCAAGGAGAGAGTAGGTTCAAGAAGAGAATAGGGTTCAGAAGAGTGTAGGTCAAGGGAGAGTAGCGTTCAGAAGAGGTAGGGTCAAGAAGAGAGAAGGGGTCAAGAAGAGCAAGTAGGGTCAAGGAGAGAGTAGCGTTCAGAAGAGTGTAGGGTCAAGAAGAGAGTAGGGTCAAGGAGAGAGTAGCGTTCAGAAGAGTGTAGGGTCAAGAAAGAGTAGGGTCAAAGAGTAGGGGTCAAGGAGAGAGAAGAGTTCAGAAAAGAGTGTAGGGTCAAGAAGAGAGTAGGTTCAGGAGGAGAGTGCGGTTCAGAAGAGAGTAGGGTCAAGGAGAGAGAAGTTCAGAAGAGTGTAGGGTCAAGAAGAGAGTAGGGCCAAGGAGAGAGTAGGGTCAAGGAGAGAGAGAAGCGTTCAGGAGAGTGTAGGGTCAAGAAGAGGGTAGGGTCAAGAGAGAGTACCAGAAGAGTGTAGGTCAAGAAGAGAGTAGACAAGGAGAGAGTAGTGCTCAGAAGAGTGTATGGTCAAGGAGAGAGAAGGTTCAGAAGAGTGTAGGTCAAAGAGAGTAGGTCAAGGAGAGAGGAAGGTTCAGGAAGAGTGTAGGGTCAAGAAGAGAGTAGGTCAAGGAGAGAGAAAGGCCCAGAAGAGTGTAGGGTTCAAGAAGAGTAGGGAAGAGTGGGTTCAAGAAAAGAGTAGGGTCAAGGAGAGAGGCCCAGAAGAGTGTATGGTCAAGAAGAGAAGATTATAGGGGTCAAGGAGAGAGAAATATGGGAGAGAGTAGGGGTCAAGGAGAAGTATGTTCAGAAGAGTGTAGGGTCAAGAAGAGAGAAGGGTCAAAGAGAGAGTAGCGTTCAGAAGAGTGTAGGGTCAAGGAGAGAGAAGGTCTAGAAGAGTGTAGGGGTCAAGAAGAGAGAAGGGTCAAGGAGGAGTAGTGCCCAAGTGTGTGTAGAGTCAAGAAGAGAGGGTCAAGGAGAGAGAAGCGTTCAGAAGAGTGTAGGGTCAATAAGAGAGTAGTGTCAAGGAGAGAGTATGTCAGAAGAGTGTAGGGTCAAGAAAAGAGTAGGGTCAAGGAGAGAGTAGCGTTCAGGAGAAGTGTGTAGGGTCAAGAAGAGAGGAGGTCCTAGGAGAGAGAGCAGTTCTGAAGAGTGTAGGGTCAAGGGAGAGAAGCGTTCAGAAGAGTGTAGGGTCAAGAAGAGAGAAGGGTCAAAGAGAGAGGTGTTCAGAAGAGGTATGGTCAAGAAGAGAGAGGGGTCAAAGAGAGTAGCGTTCAGAAGAGTGTAGAGTCAAGAAGAGAGTAGGGTCAAGGAGAGAGAAGCGTTCAGAAGAGTGTAGGAAATACTAGAGAGTAGGGTCAAGAGAGAGTATGGTCAAGGAGAGAGAGAAGTGTTCAGAAGAGTGTAGGGTCAAGAAGAGAGGGTCAATGAGAGAGTAGCGTTCAGAAGAGTGTAGGGTTAAGAAGAGAGTAGGGTCAAGGAGAGAGTAGCGTTCAGAAGAGTCTAGGGTCAAGAAGAGAGTAGGGTCAAGGAAAGAGTACCGTTCAGAAGAGTTTAGGGTCAAGAAGAGAATAGGGTCAAGGAGAGTGTAGCGTTCTGAAGAGTGTAGGGTCAAGAAGAGAGTAGTGTCAAGGAGTGAGTAGCGTTCAGAAGCGTGTAGGGTCAAGAAGAGAGTAGGGTAAAGGAGGGAGTAGCGTTCAGAAGAGTGTAGGTCAAGAAGAGAGTAGGGTCAAGGAGAGAGTAGCGTTCAGAAGAGTGTAGGGTCAAGAAGAGAGTAGTGTCAAGGAGAGATTAGCGTTCAGAAGAGTGTAGGGTCAAGAAGAGAGTAGGGTCAAGGAGAGAGTAGCGTTCAGAAGAGTGTAGGGTCAAGAAGAGTGTAGGGTCAAGGATAGAGTAGGGTCAAGGAGAGAGTAGCGTTCAGAAGAGTGTAGGGTCAAGAAGAGAGTAGGGTCAAGGAGAGAGTAGCGTTCAGAAGAGTGTAGGGTCAAGAAGAGAGTAGGGTCAAGGAGAGAGTAGGGTCAAGGAGATTAGCGTTCAGAAGAGTGTAGGGTCAAGAAGAGAGTAGGGTCAAGGAGAGAGTAGCGTTCAGAAGAGTGTAGGGTCAAGAAGAGAGTAGTGTCAAGGATAGAGTAGGGTCAAGGAGAGAGTAGCGTTCAGAAGAGTGTAGGGTCAAGAAGAGTGTAGGGTCAAGGAGAGAGTAGCGTTCAGAAGAGTGTAGGGTCAAGAAGAGAGTAGGGTCAAGGAGAGAGTAGGGTCAAGGAGAGAGTAGCGTTCAGAAGAGTGTAGGGTCAAGAAGAGAGTAGGGTCAAGGAGAGAGTAGCGTTCAGAAGAGTGTAGGTTCAAGAAGAGAGTAGGGTCAAGGCGAAAGTAGGGTCAAGGAGAGAGTAGCGTTCAGAAGAGTGTAGGGTTAAGAAGAGAGTAGGGTCAAGGAGAGAGTAGCGTTCAGGAGAGAGTAGCGTCAAGAAGAGAGTAGGTTCAAGGAGAGAGTAGCGTTCAGAAGAGTGTAGGGTCAAGAAGAGGGTAGGGCCAAGGAGAGAGTAGGGTCAAGGAGAGAGTAGCGTTCAGAAGAGTGTAGGGTCAAGAAGCGAATCGGTTCAATAAGAGAGGGTCTGAGGAGAGGTCGCCTGCATTGATCATTGAGATTCAGAAGACTATTCGATCTACCTGTGAAATTAAATATGATGATTGCGTAAACTCTTCCAAAGATGCCAGAGCTGGAGAGTTTGTGTAACAACCCCTAAGCCATGCCTTACAAAATTCTTTTAGATCGCCTCTTGAAAACAGATTGGAAGAGTTTGCTAATGCCTGCGATGGAGATGAACGCTCATCAGCATTCTTAATTATTCGTGTTTCGAAAAAGCATTCCCCAAATAACTACGATGAATCACGCATGTGAAATCCTGCATGGATGCATATGCATGGGTAAACATGCACACGTGCTTATACATACATATATGCACAACAATCATTATAAAATCCTTTGCTTCACCGAATAAACATACCATTTGACCGAAGGATCATTGCTTGCTTCTTAAAGATGTCAATGATGGGTTTTTCGGACGCAATCAGCATGTTGCGTATTAAATGATACGCCTGTTTATATTGCGATTTTACGTAGCACACTTGTCTTCCTTGGTAAGTAATGTTCTTCTCATTTCCACAACTCCCTGCAAATCATAATAATAATAATAATAATAATCACAATAATAATAATAATAATATAAATAATAAATACTACGATCTTAAAATGGAAATCTGAAAAAGTTGGCACATGAGGACATCAATAATTTCACTTGTAGTTGGAGCCCTCAGATTAGAAAAAGGCTCCAATAGACTCATTGATGGGATTCCTGGTAGCCCATGCCTTAAAGAAATGCAAAAAAAAAATCTACTCACAAGTACAGCTCATATATTACGGAGAGCCTTATCTATGTAAAATGTGTATGATCTTAATTTTTTGTTTTTTACAAAAATGATCAGTTGAAAATGTCATGATGCCATTTATGATTCTGAAAGAAATGTGATACAGCAAAATCAAAGGAAATAATAATAATAATAATAATAATAATAATAATAATAATAATCTCAGTAATGCCTGGAAGGATTATCCTAAGGAATTCGATAGTGTACCCCATTACTGGAATTTATAGTCTTTAAATATATATAAGGTATCCCCGGTGGTCATCAATTTCATCAAGCAAATTAAGTCGATATGGAAAACAACACATCAACACAATCATATAAATGGAATCTATAAGTCTGCTGAAATACACATCAACAAAAGAATATTTCAATGTGACCCGTTGTCAACCTTACTATTTTGCATATCCCTAATAGCATTAACCAACGAACTTAACAGGACGGAATATGGCTATAATATATCTCAAAACAAAGTAAGCCATCTGTTTTACATAGATGACTTAAAGTTGTATGCTAGGAATGACTGAGTTGGAAGGTCCTCTGAAAACAGCAAAACGTTTCAGTAATGACATTGGAATGAAATTTCGTTTTAATAAATGTGCTAAAGCCACAATTTTGCGAGGATCACTACAACAAACCTCCTCGATTAGCTTAGACCCTCGGGTAACACATTGTAAATAGTGTAAATATATATATTTTTTAATTTTAAGAAATCAATTCTGATGAGCATATTTGTTTTGACTTTTGTAAGGAGATCAATTTATAAGGAGGTCAATTTATAATGAATTTACATAACAAACTGGACCCTCAATTATAAAATTTAATTGTTCTTTTAAATTTTGGTTTATCTGGAGTTTTTAAATTTTTTGTTATTTTGGAGTGCTTAATCTATAATAGTTGGGGGCAAATGATTATTTCTCATCGCAATGACTCAACCAAACATTTAATTTTAATGATTGCTGGTAATTAGTTCTGACTTAATGTTAATCTATTCATTCTTAAATGACTGTTGCATTTTCTACAGGGACGCTAACTGTCACGAAACGTAATATTTTCTCTTTAACATTAACATCTTTGACATTTTTATGGGCATATATTTTAAATTAATCATTTTCTACATTAGGAATTTTATGAAACTATTTGGTAGTCTTAAACGCGACCCAATTAACCACAATCAAAATATGAATAAAGATAATTAAGAAAAATACCATTTTAATTTAGTGTCTCAAATAAATAATATACTTAAACTGTCCTTATCTTTGTGTGTTTGTCACAGCGTTATTATTACTGTGATTTCCGGCCTTCTCGGAATTTCACACCGAAATCTTTATTCAATCCACATAGGTAAATCGGTTTTGTTCAGCTATGTTGGAGAATATCCAGTAAATTAGTATGTAAAATAGAAAGGATTTTTACTTTTTATCACTAAAATGGTAATATTGAAAGCATTTAAAGAGATTAGAGGTTATTTGTGAATATAAAAGAATTAGTTTTTTTAAAGACATACCACATTCCACAGGTTTTGACCAAACCGCAGCACTTGTACAGACTGAAAAATTTCTATTAGATTTCAAGATGCTATCTCTAAGGCAAGAATACACAGCAATGTCGCCAATCGATGTTCCGGTGAGAGAACTTACTTTAGCCGTAGAAGAAGACGGAGGAGGTCCACAACTGATTTCTGAGAAAATAAGGAGAAAATATTATCTAGACATGTTACTCTAATGGCAAACATTACGCTCGAACACTACGTTGCATTAATATACATGGCATCGGTGTCGTTGGCAATAATTTGAAATGTGTAGTAAATCATATACAATAAATAGTTCAAAGATGTCATGATCTAAAAATGATTCACAGTTTAATAAGAAATAAAGAAATGCCTAAACTATTATTCAACAGACGCACACATTGAAAATCGTTTGTAGAAGATTTGAAATTTAAAAAGCAAGCAAACGTATCAGTTATCATATACAACGAGTAGTGAAGGAATAAAGTGACACTTACCTCGTATAACAAAACAACCACGGATGGTATGTAGAGATTTTCCAAGCGTAGCTTAGATGTGGCACAAGGCCGAAAGTGTGAGGCATCCAGTGAGAATCGAACTCACTTTTCAGTAGTAACTGATCTAGCAAGCCAAGCTTGCTAACCATTACACCACGCCGAGGTGCCCCATAGATGGTATGTATACACTGTTGGTTGGTTAATTTTGTTTAGCAGCATATCAACCTGAACACAATTTTATGCCTTCTGCTAAATATATTTTGATAAATTGTATTGTTGATCATTTTTTATTGCTGGTAATTTTTACTATAAATATGTATTGTTGGTAACTTTATTATAAATAGCTATTGCTTGTAATTTTTAAAATAAAAATGTATTGCTGGTAGTTTTAATATAAGATCGCATTTTTATACATTCATGGTGTTTTGTTTTTGGATTCACTATTTGCCAATACCTAGAACCCTAACAGGTGCTACCACCCCAGATCAGGGTGGACCTGGGAACAACAGCAATTAAAAGGGGGTTCAATGCTCGTCATGATCTATAGTTCCACAATCTGACACATATTTATTAGCTGATTTTTTATCTAAAACTTTCACTGTATAATGTTCGATCTATCTTCAATATTCATCAGGGAATTAATTTGACCTTCGCGCTGATATATGCGTTATACACACACACACACACACACACACACACACACGCACACACACACACACACACAGAGGCACGTATGTGTGTGTGCAAGTGTGCACCAATCCAAGTTCAGTAGTGTTTTGAATTGACAAGAAATTGACACTTTCGCTTTATTAAAGATGTGAAAGAAAATGAAATGTTGTAAGAACCTGAATGCAAATTTACCAATGTTGATCTAGCAATCAAGGTACTTTCTATACACTTTCGTATTAGTAAATTGCTTTCTCTTTTAATTTAAGATCAGTATTGTTTTCATTAATTTAACTGACAAGGAATTTAATTACTTTTTAATTAATTAACGCAAATATTGACCAAATGTTTGCTGTCTTGCCATTATTAAAATCAGGGAAAAACCTTCGATGTTATTCGTTTAAAATTCTGAATACTTTTAAAACTCAACGCTTGCTATTTATTCGTTATGAGGTCCCACAACATAGAAGTGAAACATGTATCTGCCAGCTACTAAATACACTTAAGATCCCAGTTCCCTAACTAGGATGCAACGACTATCGTTTCGAGAGCTGTGGTCCCTTACTTCACATTTGGCGTGTACGGGACTTGAGTGGGTGTTAAACTGAAAGTCTTTTACCGATAAAATAAATAATAAGCTAAATAAGCCACTGCACTCTTTATCCTAATAAATAAATAAATTAACAAATTAACAAATCGTTCCCGATAAAATAACCGTTAGAACTAATAAAAATAAACATAAATAAGCAAAAACAAGTAAAAGTTATCCATCAAAATAAATAAACTAATAAAATAATAAACAAATTAAAAACTGTCTCCCACCAAAATAGCAACAGACTACGGCAATCAATCTAAAAATTTGGCAAATAAATAGCTTTATTTTCCCAGACCAAAACAAAATATTAAATAAGCGACCTATGCAAATCACCCCAAATTTTTACTACGTTAATAAAACATCGAATACACAATAAATAAATATAAAATTAAGAAAGGAAATAAAAACAACTAAAACAAATAAATAAATAAACAAGCCACTCCCGCCAAAATAACCGCTAGAATGGATTACCCACAATGCACCATTGACCCACATATAAAAAGTCGAGAAAAATCCAACACTCGCAGCCTGATGATGGTGTCATGCATGAAACAGCCTGTCACATCTGAGTGTTGACTTCAATGTTCACTATATATATATATATATATATATATATATATATATATATATATATATATATAATATAAAAGGCTCAAGCACTAATATTTCATGGTTATAATTTATTACATCTGAATCGTAATCACGACCCAATTTATCAGACCTATAAATTCAAAAAGAAAACAGAAAATATATTTCAGTAATAGTGTATATGTGGGAGTGGGAAACAAAGGTGAAAAGGAAATGTATGAAAGTTCTAGAGAGAAGGGTAAAGAAAGATGAAGAACAGGAAAGGTATTAAAGTGAGAGTGAGGAATAAAATTTGAAAGAGAGAAGTCTAATAACGGTTTTAAAGAGGGAGATTCAGATAAATGCGAGTTATTGTCAGATGCATAAATCGACTTCCGATTTGCTGACCTAAATTAAAATCCAGACAACGGTGACCTTAGATCCAATGAATGAGGAAAATCATTAGACAATCCAAATTTTGTATACATGAAAGGAGAAGATGAGAGAGAGGAAGAGAAAGATATGGCACACATATATACATACATATGCACCTGCTTCTGTGTGCATATCTATTGAACTTTATACTTTACCTGTGCAATTAATATCAGGCTCTGTCCATGTTCCATTCGCGATGCATCGAGATTCGCCAATAACCTCCAAACTTTTATAACCTGCTGTGCATTCATAATATGCCGTACTGCCGTAGTCATTTCCTGTGTAATTTTTTAAGTCAGTATTTGATATGTTTGGTGGAATTCCGCAGATTATTTCTAAAAATAACCAAATAAAAATCTATAAAGGATTTCATCTGAAAATCTAAGCCTTGGTTACAATGTCTAGTATTAAAATTCATTTGCAGATCGGATTCAATGACAGCCATTACCACGCATTGATTCATTCGGAATATTTTCCTCATTTTTGTTGTTTTCATCACAGCATCTTGGCGGTTGTAGTTTCAGGTCGTTGTCGTTCCTCGGAAGTCAGTCTTTGAGTTATGTAGTACATACATATACACTTAGTAGATTACTTAAGTAGTACATACATATACACTTAGTAGATTGCACTTACATTATAAAGAAGAATTAACGATTCAATTCCCAGGAAAAGCAGCAGACTTAAGAGGTAAAGAATTAGAAAAGCATAGCTGCAAGTATCAAATAGGGTTCAGCTTGAAGTTCCGAGAACACCGGAAGGCCAGAAAGTGAAACAATCAAAACGATGTGATGAAGACAACAAAGTCAAAGAAACATTAAAAAAATCAGTGTATATTAGTGAAAATATCTCGTTTCAAGAGTTTCAAATATTGTCGATGGTGATTCGAATTATATTACTATAACAACGCTTTTCAAGAATATGCAGAAATGTTTAAGTGATATATACAAGGTAGTTCGAAAGTCTTGTCACCCTAACCATCTCTTCCAAACGCTAGGAGCTCGTGTCGGCCATCTGAAATACAAAATTATATTATGTAGGGGTGACAAGAATTTCGGACCACCCTATATTGTTGCATTTACACGATTCCAGAAATATCACCTATTAGTTTAGTAATGGAAAGAAAACAAAAGAGTTTGCGTTAGTCAACATACGTTTTCTCTTAGTAACATTGGGTGGAATTGGAAAAGCCTCGTGTATTACAAGCTCCTTCTGTAAAACAGATATTAAATTCTGTTCCCAATTGGATCGATTAAAGGCAGCAATCGATGAAAAGCATCCGGAATTGGTCAATCGTTGGCTTGTCGTCTTTCATCGGGACAGCACCAGCTTTCACGTATCTTTGCAGAATTGGCAGAATTTAGTACAGCTTGGGGTGTCCTACAACATGAGCTGGATTCACTCAACCTTGTAACTTTGTTTTACCACTTATATCAATCTCTACAAAATTCTCTTAATTGAAAACACTTAATTTCTTTAGAAGCCTGTAAAAACTGCTTAGATCAGTTCATCACTCCAATCTGGGACGATGAGATCATGAATCTGAAAGCGAAAAATGACACATATGTGGTTTAATAAATCTATGTACAAATATCTAAATATTCTCTTTGTAATTCCCTTAATTTGTTTGCTTCCACACGACCTATCGGGGGGGGTTGTGCTGGTACGTCTGCAAGGCCAATACGACACTCCGGTGGGTTGTTTTCCAATTACTTTTCTACGAGGAATTATTGGAAGTTGGATGCAATGATTGATTGCTTAGGATACCATGGTACACCCGAACCACATTTTTTTCAAAAGAAGATTTTAATTTTTTTATATTTGGTCTTTTATTTCGTCTTCCTTTTGGAATTTCTACTGTTGTTTTTACTGGATGGGTCATTTTTTTTATTTTTACATACACATAGCTGTACCATGCATTCGTGTGGGTCGTGTGGGACTCTGCGTTATAAAATGGACTCAGGTGCTGGACGACACACTGAGCCGTGGATAATAAATACTATCTATGATATCCTTGCCTCATATATGATAAAAAATTAAAACAAAGTCGTTTGTACGAAAATTAATTAAGATTTAGTGTTGGGACAACAAGGGAAATGTGACTAGGAAGCCAACGTGTTAAAAGACCCCACGAAATTTTCTTCCGACCCAGTATAAACTTCCCAAAATCTTGTCGAAAATAATATAAAGAATATTTAATATCTGGAAGTATTCTACTTCTTTTATATGCCATTTACCTTCAGGATATAAGCGGTTATAACAATCACAACAAAATAAAATGAAGATTAATGGTTTCTCTTAGAATATGCATTCCGAATGGCTACAGGAAGAACAAATCATACTGAATAAAACTTGAAACTCTTTCATTACAGCATCATTTCATTCTTACCACAAGAAGAAAAATTTATAAAATCCATGACTAAAAACGTAAGTACAACAAAAGTACAACATAAATCATACGAGTTTATAGAAACGAATTTTACTCACTCGTACAGTTAATGCTTGGTTCCGACCATGTCCTATTGAGCTGGCAAACTGAAGTTGAATCCCCATTCAAATATTTGTAACCCGGCTTACACTGATATTTGATCTTACTTTTGTATTGTATAGGGTACGGCCATTGGATGTCATTGGTACCTTCAATGGATTTTGGTGAGCCGCATCGAATATCTGACAATATAAAATCATGAAGTAAAGAGAAAGTTTGTTAACTCCTCGTCAAATTGACTGACTGATTAGTTTAAATCAGTAAAGAAATGGGAGAACATTGGCGTAAACAAAGGGAAAAATAGCAAACATTTGTTGATTTATTGATATTCCCAACTACTGGTCATTATGGATTTTACAAGAATATTGCTTTTCTATTTGCAGGAGTAATAGGTAATTGAATATTGCATTGATGAAAAAGAAGAGGCAACTCTATGTGGAAATCACGAAGTATTGACTTTATTTTCTTACAATGTTGTTCACCTCGTACAAAGCCCGAGAGCCACTCAGGTAGCGGGTTGCAGAGTAAGTGAGGAAGATAATGGTTATCTCTAGACTTGAACTAGTTAAGATTGTAGTGGTCGGGGAGTCAGTTCCACATGGCAGTGGTTCGTGAGAAGAAGCTGCTCAAATAGAACTTACATCTGACCAATGGAATACAAAGGAAATGAGAGTCGTTTGTTACAATGTGCTTGGCATGGTGGCTTTTAGCCTTGAATGTTAGGACGGATGAAACTAATGGGTGTAGTTCATCTAAACATTTACCATGGAAATAGCGATAATGCAGCGTGAGGCTAGTCTGTTGGAAAAGCATTATAGAGTGGGAAATAATGCATCACCCACAAGGAGGCAGGGAAGCTGAAAGACTGGGCGGCTGTTGCGTATATATGACAGTAGTACTCCATTTTCGGCCTGATCTGGTTCTTGTAAAGGTAGAGGATAGCAGGTGGAGTCAAGTATTTGCTGGAGCAAATATCCAGCATCTTTAGCGACGGATTGTATGTACGAGTTCCACTTGAGATTTGGGTTGAGTCCCAATAAGCACTCAAGACATTGAGCCTATCTAAGGGAATATGTTCATTACGATTTGTGAAAGTTCTTGGTCCGATTGGCGATGGTGGAATGTTACTAGTTTGTTTTTCGAGGTATTGAATCTGACCAGCCAGTTTTCCCCTGTTAGAGCTAGGTCAAAGGAGAGATCAATTGCCAATCTCTGGTTATCTGGGGTTTGGGAAATTCATTCTTGTATCGTTGTATCATTAGCATTAGCATCATTTATGTAAAATAGGGAGAGGATTAAACCAAGAAGCAAACCCTGGGGGACATCTGCGCTGATCACTTGGACCTCCAAGGGCCGACCCTTCAGGGACCTACCCGTTAGGAAGGGCTTTATAATTGAGAAGATTCTTCCAGTGATTCCGTAGCTAAAGAGCTTCTGCAAAAAACTTTATAAAACATCGTCCTTGAGATGTATTTGTTGTGATTCCAAAATAATTCTGTGAATAATCACAGGGTATCAACAGTGGATCTGACCGATCGAAGCCCGTATTGTTTGTCGCTCAAGTGAATGTTCCTGTTGAGGTGATCAACAACCTATTTGTTGGTTATAGCTTCAAAGATTTTATTAAATGTACTAAGGAGACTGATAGTTCTATACTGTTAGCGGAGATGAGTGCTCCCCCGCATTCTTGAAAACTGCGCATACATTTGGGAACTTCCACATATTTGAGCGGTTAAATAACTTCGCTAAGATCGGGTATAACTCGGAGTTAATATTCTTAAAGACAACCATTGGGATTTTGTTTGAACCGGTGGCCTTTGAGTCAAGACTTTTGATAAGTCTTGAGACATCCTGGGCTGTAATGAAAATATTACTGAGATTGTACTCAGTGAAACGGGGAAATTCAGAAACAGGATGACCTTTGTCATCTAAAATTGAAAAGCTTCACTTTATCTGACGAGAATAAGATAACCTCGGAGTTATTTATAATAGTAGACATTGACGTTTTGCTTCTATTCAGAATTTAATTAGAGATCTTACAGAAGTCTCTGGATTCAGTTTGTTATCCTTCAAATTTGGTCTGGACTACTTGAACATAGCTATACTTTGCATTTTCTAGAACTTTCTCGCAGGGATTGTGGACAGTTCTGAATGAAGTAAACGTTCTACTACACCACTCCCTTTGGTAGATATTAGTAATTAAGATGACCTATGACTGCAACATATTGAACCAGTGCTGTCTGTTCATTTTCTGTTGGAATGTTTTCGGGGCTATAAAACTCTCCATTTCAGTAAGAATCCATTTATGAAAAAAACACATTTTGGTGTGTATATATATATATATATATATATATATATATATATATATATATATATATATCGGTCTGTTGATTAGAAGTAGAGGTTTATGCCTCGTTTCCTGTTTAGAACTGGGTATCCAGGTTTCTTCTAAAGTTTACAAATGTTTCCACCTGAACTCTGAAATTTTATTTACTATTTATTTCTTTTTTCCCTAAATAAGAGTAGATTGGTTCGACTATCGCCTGATTCACATTCCTCCCTGTTTTTTTTTTAACATAAGTAGAGGTTTATCCCATGTTTACTGTTTAGCATTCGGTCTCGAGGTTCTTCTAAAGTCTTTTTCCTCCCAGGAGCTCCTTGCATCTTAGTGGCATTATCGACTTGTTTGGAATGAATTGAATATATATATATATATATATATATATATATATATATATATATATATATATATATAAGGGAAAATATATATATATATATATATATTTGGTTGGATTGATGTGAGTTTGTGACCCTGGGTTTTATATACACACATTTTTCACACACACACATATATATATATATATATATATAACGTGACGAAGCTTGATAAACTGATATATGAGTTTTAAATCTTGTTTTTCTTATGTTTTTCTTATGTGTGATAATGGACTACAATTTTTCACAAGTTGACTACTTCAGAAATAAAATGTGCCAATTCCTATATATTTCGGCATGTTGAATTCGAAAAATGATTGTCAAATGATATGATTGGCCCCATCTTTTGAGATATTTAGTCAGTTATGTCATACACATGAGTACAATGGATGTCTCCAAGAAAAAAACAACGTTGCTTTGCAAAATCTGCTTTGATGTTCTGTTCTATATAGGCCACCAAAGTAATACACAAAATGGCAATATATGTGTTTATTGAATAATATACAACCGGAAAACTCTTTTCAGTAGTATATACATGTGCAGTTATTCAACAATCGCAAATCGTTCCATAGTTTTGTAAGCTGCAGGAGGATAATTTTTGGTCACAGTTCAACAATAATCAACCAGCATTGATAGGTTCCACTTGACCTGATACCTTTTCTCCGTTGCTGAAATGTCTTAATGAAATCGTTGACCGTGCTCGTAACTCACAGCACTAAAGTCTTGGGGAAAAATCAAGGTGAGTCTAAAAAGTGGATCTTCAAAATGTTACAGCCCTATATTCCTTCAAGAGGATTTTTCCAGTTTTCTTTAATTTTCTGATATCACTGCAGTACACCAAATTACTTTCCATAAAGAAGAACGGGACTAGCTCCTTTTGATGATCATGAAAATGGGAAATCTGTACATCACCAACTAATAGATTCCACTGCTGTAACCTGGAACCTAACAGATCTTTACTCTTAGGAAGTTTCAAATCTCTAAGTTCTCTAGGTCACTTTCAAATATGAGGTATGGTTAAGAGACTGACGTTTGACAATAATCTTGGTCATATGAAGTCGGTGGTCCAGGTTTGGAGGTTTCATTGTCTTCTCCATTGTCCGATTCAATTTCGTATTCGGATCACCCTGTACTGTTGTATTTACACGATTCCAGAAATATCCCCTATTAGCTTAGTAATGGAAAGAAAACAAAAGAGTTTGCGTTAGTTAACATGCGTTTTCTTTTAGTAACATTGGCTGGGATTGGAAAAGCGTCGTGTATTACAGGCTCCTTCCGTAAAACAGACATTCAATTGGATCGATTAAAGACAGCAATCGATGAAAAGCATCCGGAATTGGTCAATTGTGGATTTGTCGTCTTTCATTGTGACAGCACCAGCCCTCACGTATCTTTGCAGAGCTGGCAGAAATTAGTACTGCTTGGGGTGTCCTATAACATGGGCTGACCTCACTCAACCTTGTACCTTTGTGTGACAGAGAGAAAGTCTGGGAAACACACACACACACGTATATATTTTTTTAGTGAAATTGGAGTAGATTTGAATAGCGAAATTAAATCAGAGCATTTTGTTTACTGATAGGGAAATCTGATCTAGGGCAGAAGTTGTACCCATTGAATCTGGGTAATCAGTAGACAATGGAAATGGTCGAAATAATTTTTATCGATTAAAAATTGAAATAGAGGTGAGTAAGCTAGAAGGAACTTTGGAATTCACATGATTTTGGTTGAAGCAGCCAGAACCCCGTGATAATCGCGTGCGAAGTAGTAGGGCCGAGGGTCAGTTATAATCAGCCGGGTTTATCTATATAAACGCGTAGTTATGCTGAAAAAGACAGACGGTAGAAAATTCTTTAGGAGAGAAGAGAAAATTGACCCGGGGGAGGATGAACGCTACTATAACTTTAATCCTCGCACAGAAATCTTCATCCCTCCATAGCAAGAGTCATATATTGTTCTGAGATGATTTAACAACAATGTAATCACATACTCTCTCTCTCTGTGTCTAGAATTCAGTGTATGAGTTTTTGGGGGTTTTTTTTTTTACTTTTCTTTTCTGTAACCCGTTTCTTTTCTCTACTATTCTTTTCTGCTATATAAAAGACATTACCAATTCAACCATTGAATCGATGTTTGCCCGGCTTTCTGCAGATATTCATTTTTTTTTTTTTTTTTTGCTGCATTCTAAATTTTTTAGCGCAAACTCCCCAGCCGTGCCTACATCTTCAGTCGACCGTGAATGGACGGACATCACTTCTGTTTTCTGAATCAAACAAATCACAACGTGGGCAGGAAGCAGGATTAAACCAGCGGAACGGTTGAATAATCTACGGGTGCTCAGGGGACCTATGGCCACTCCCTTAAGTTCGGTTAGGACCGAGTAGACACCTCAAACCCTAGAGTAAAGGGCCGGAGCGAAAATGTTAAATTTGTTTTACCACTTATATCAATCTCTACAAAATTCTATGAAGTGTGGTTCGGAGGTGGACATTGGACAATAACCTTATTCATATGAAGTTGATGGTTCGATTTTGGAGGTTTCATTGTCTTCCCCATCGTCTGATTCAATTTCATATGATCCTGGTGATTCTGGGACTGTATACCTTCCTTATGGGAGACAGGAAACAAAGCTGAAGGAATGTTTGGATATTGTACTGTTCATTTCTTTATCTTTGTTGGTCCCTTAACAATTGGAGGCACATCATTGGCATAATCGGTTGACTCTTCCCAAATCATGGGCACTGCAAAGGTTACAGATTTTGTTTTCCTTGTTAGCCATTGACTGAGATTTGTTGCACAGGTATTACAGCATGTGTAGTGCCTACGTCTTGTCTTGGTCTCCAATTTTGCATTGAAAATTTAGTTAGTAAGTTTTTCTCACCACAGGTGTTATATTTTGCTTTCAAGATACAAAAGCCACTTTGCCACACACATAGCAAAAGTTATCAGCTTTCATGGGGCATTTTTCACAGGTCAGTTAAATGTGTGAAAACATGAGTGCAAAGGAGAATAATAATTAATTTATTATGAGAATAATTATATATAATAAGGTTATTTGGAGAATAATAATTAATCTGGCAAATTTTGATGAAATATTCATATAACACTAGTACCGTATCTTGAATTCTGGAGCTAATTAACAATTTTGGATATAACTTTTATTTCCAGTGCCACAAAATTAGTCGATATTGGCTATTTTTGTCTTTGAAGCTTTTATGTTGTAGAGCAGCGTAATTTAGTGTTGTTATAGTGTTCTGTGATTTGTATTGTCTCGTAGAGTTGTCGATATAGTTTGTCTTCGTCCACGCCACTAATAGTAGAGAGAGACTTTCTTGCTTCCACCCAGGTATGAATAGCAGTTCGGTTTAACTTGCAAAAGGATAGGCATTAAACTCCTTCCGTTTTAATTTATAGTATTATGAGAGAATCTGGAATCTGTCGGTCCTACTAAGAAACTCTTTAAAAAAATTTGGTTATATTTTGGGAAGTGGTTCGAGAACTTTTCGGAAACGTCTCGTGCTTGGTTAGTTCATCTAGAAATATATATTTATTACTTAAACAATAGAAATGTTTCCTTTTTTAAACGAAATTTTTTCATTGTTTCATGAACAATTGGCACTTACCTAAGTGTAGACACGTGTAGGTCTGAGTTAATGTTGGTAGACAAAAACTATCTTCAGAACAACTATGATTAGCGCAGCTGTATACCATGAGCTGTTAGGAAAACAAATGGAAAACTTTATTATCAAAAACTAAATTCTACTTTTGATTCACAAACTTTTATGTCTCTCTCTCTCTTTCTCTCCCGCTCACTTCTCTCTCCCTCTCTTTCTCTCTTTCTCTCTCCCTTTCTTTCTCTTTCTTCCTCTGCCTCTCTCTCTTCCACTCTCGATCTTTTTCTCTCTCTCTTTATCTCTCTTACTGTCTCCTTTCTCTCTCCTATCTCTCTCTCTTTCTTTCTCTCCCTCTCTCTCTCTTCCTCTCTCCTTCTCTCTTTCTCTTTCATGCCGTTCAGCTCTCACTTTCAATTTCTTAAATCTTTTTTTTTATATCTTTGTATTTCAAACTTTAAAACCTGAGAATATTACAAGCAATGTTTTAATAATTTCATAAATAGAATGATTGCGTTAGTTGGTTATTTTGAAATCTCGATATCGCACCATAGTTAAATGATTAACAAATGTGTTTTCTTTATAGCGTCAGTTTTTGTTGTTTTTCTTTAATCTAAGCAATAACGCCTCTAAGACACAAGTGGTTGCCGAATGTGAGAGAATATGAAAACATTAAGGAGAGAGAACAATAAAAGAACAGGAATTGGCACTGCATTTAAAAGTTTTGAAGATCAATGTTAACTGGAAAGAAAAAAGTGAGAAGTGTGAGAGAAAAAGAAAGTTAATATAGAACTTTACGATTACATCTAGCCATTTCCAATGTAAAATTATGAAACCTTTCTACCAATCTAGGATTGCGTTTAAATTCATAAAGTTTAGGTAACAAAGCGGAAGTCTCATTAAAACGATTACTATGAAAATATTTATAAAAAAAAAAAGAACAGGGAAGTGACGTTACTGCTGTGGGAAAACTGACTGAAGCCGTCTTGCCAGATCAAGCCCAATATCATTGCAGACTCTTCTTTATATTTTATCTAGAATCCTTAAATACACAGAACACCAAACCGGATATGATGACAATATTCAATACGTGGACGAATGGTAAACTTATAAATGTGTAAAACAGATTCTGACGAGAGAAATTCTCTAGCACGACGCAGTGATCTAACTTTCCTAGACGTTGCAACTAATTCAATATAATATTTCCTCTTCATTTCAGCGTCTTATGAGTGTCACGTGCTTCGTAAATTTTTCTTGTTTCAGCTGCACATAGGAAGTATTAAAATATTTTTTACGTAAATTTAAAAAAACTACTCTTACAGGATCTTAATAAGTGAGTCGGAAATATTCTTAGTATGAAATAAACGGCGGTGATCTTCTAAAAGGGGGTCGGACGATTATCTAAAGAGTCAAAAAGTGTTAAATTAATAAACGGTATAGTCTTAATAAGCCCGGAGGAGTCAGAAAAATGTTTCTAAAATGTAACCGGCCCCTGTCTATTCCTTAAGGAAAAGTTAACAAAGGGTAAGTATATTAATTTCATTTTATCTTAATATTGTGAATACTGATTTTCGGTAGTACTGGGTATGACAATAAGCTACATCCGATAGCAAGACCTCTGATCGGGCGATTGGAGGTTTTCAGGAGCGTGGAACCACCTCTTAATTGCAGCTGTTCCCAAATTCACCCTGACCCGAGGTGGTAGCACCTGTTAGGGTCCAACCTATGGGTAAATAGTGAACCCTGGAACAAAAAGAAAACACTATATAAGTATAAAAATATTTTTATAGCAAAAATACCAGCAATACATTTTTATAAAGTAAAATCACCAACAATAACTATTTATAGTAAAATTACCCACAATATTATTTATAATAAAATGGATTTTATAGTAGAATTACCAACAATACATTTTATCTCTAATTAAAGTGATATAATTGCGTTTAAAACATATTTAGTTGAAGCCATAAAATTGCGCTCAAAATACTTAGATTTTGGTATTAAATAACTAGCTTGATATGTCGCTAAACAAAATCAACCAACCAACAAACCTTATTTTCAGCTGCCAACACCAATTTTATATATGTCACCACCTGACTACAGAAACACTGCGCTCTAAAATTTATTCCCGACTTCGAAGTTTCTTGGTAAAATTTCCAGTCTTCAGGAAATATTACAATTTAATTAATAATATAACATAACAACTTCTAAATAAACCAAATAAAAAAAATGTAATTTGATTTCGAAGAAAAATTTACAATGGGAAGAAAAATCTACAGCTGAAAAAAAAATGAAAGACGTAAACAAAAGGAAAATTTCATGAACGGCAGCGTGTAAAAAAACGTTACATTCATGAATAGGCCCGTGTACAAAATGGAGTAAAAAACGGATTGAAAAAGACGCGGAACAAATGAAAAAATTGGAAATATCGTTTAAAAGCAGAACCAAGATTTTACCAAGAAATTTCAAAGTCGGGATAAAATTGATATTTAAAAGTTATCTTTTCATATATTACTATAGTTCCATTTTTTAATATTATTTTAATAATTTTTAATATTGAGCACTATGTATAATAACATCTGCTGTAAATTTCTTATATATATATATATATATATATATATATATATATATATATATAATGAAAAATTGCGCGCTTTTTAATTTTATATACTGATTTATTTATCTTCTCATAAAGAGACTTCAAGCAACAGATATGTGGTTCTACAGAAGTATGTTAAGAATAGCACGCACTGTACACGTAAACAGCGACTAAGTTTTAGAGAAAATAAAAATGAAATGGCCACTTATACTTAAGATCAGGAAGAGGCAGTTGAAATTTCTATGGCACTAATGTGGAAAGAGGGCTTGGGAAATTTTATACTCACAAGAGAGAATGAAGGCATGAGAGACAGAGGAAAACAATATATAACTTACCTAGCGAGCTTGAGTAAATGGATGGCGGAAAATAAATGGATTGTTTAGGAGAAATAACAAAAAGAATTTTTTTTTAAGAGCTACAAAGGACAGGAAATTATGGAGGACCATGATCACCAACGTCCTGAAGAGACATGATACAAAGAAGTGAACATAACTTCACCTCGCACCGCACTAGTCTGCCGTTGCTCATAGTTTGGGGAAACTTAAGTTCTAAGAGTAAATATCTACTAAAATGGATATTGCTTTGTGCTATCAATGAAGAATATGAAGTTTCTCTTAATGTTTTATTGTTTCAAAATTCTGTGTTACTCTAAGCTTATATTAATATTTCGTTCAATTTTAGACCATATTAAAATCATCATCATGCGATATGCGAGAAAACTGCATTCACGGTTGGGATTTCTTTTCACAATTCTAAATGGAATGAGCTGTCGTAGAGTGTAGACATGCTGATAAATGTTTACATGCAAGTTCACTGCCATCAATTCTCCGTGAGTTCACTGCCATCAATTCTCCGTGAGTTCACTGCGAGGAAACTTCACTGCCGAGGAAGTTCACAGTGGGAAAGGTTTACCGTACGGAAACCGTATATTATATATATATATATATATATATATATATATATATATATATATATATATATATATATATATATATATATATATAGAGAGGGAGAGAGAGAGAGAGAGAGAGAGAGAGAGAGGTTACAATAGTTGAAACAAAGCAGTGGCCTCTCATATGGGGAGAGCTCGAGGAGCGTGAGGACCTTGATGAGGAGTAACAGTGGTTCCAGCAGGATGGTGCTCCTCCTCATACTGCTAATGTTACCATGGCATGGCTCCTTGAAAAGTTTGGGGAGCGCCTCATCAGCCGCAAAACTGAAGTGGAATGGACACCTCACTCGCCTGACCGGAAACCGCCAGATTTCTTCCTCTGGGGGTTCCTTAAGGACAACGTCTACCAGGGCAACCATTGAGCAGCCAAGATTGAAATGATCACCCAGGAGGAATGTACGCTTGTTATCAACAACTTTGCATTCAACAATGCCTTCAACTGAACGGCGGATGTCAGGAGCCTGTAAACTGGGGCTCCTCTTGACATTTTTGGTTCATGTTTGAGACTAAATGGTTTCAGATCCTAAAATTTTATCCTTTTACCTTTCAATAAATGTAATTTCCATTACTCTATCATTCGTAGTCCTTTATTTGTGCACGATCATTCTGTTTCAAAAATTATGAAACACTATATATATATATATATATATATATATATATATATATATATAGAGAGAGAGAGAGAGAGAGAGAGAGAGAGAATGGAGATCAACGTGTTTTAGTGGACTCAGCAATTTTCAATCTGCTTGTCTGAATCATCTTCAAGAAGCGAGAGCAAGATCTAAAATGTCAGCCAATTTAACAGTGATCTCATCTCATAATCCTCACACTTGCTCCATATGTGGCCTCCTTTGTAAATCACTAGCGGGTCTTAAATGCCACTTAAGATTATCGCACAAAGTTTCATAACTGAATTAATAAGCTGTCAGATCCTCATACGTCGAAACCGACGGGAGAGTCCATTATATATATATATATATATATATATATATATATATATATATATATATATATATATATATATATAATCTCAATCTAGATATTTCCATAATAGCTAAACAGTTGAAATTATCATAACAGAAGAAATAAAAAAAACAACTAAAACCAAACCAAAACGAAAAGACAACTAAAGTTTGGCGAGGGAGGCATTACGTCATTATAAACCCAAGTTTTAATTATTAAATTGGAGCGAATAATATCAGTTATTAGAAAGCAAAGTTTTAATTAAATTTAATTATTTAAATTAAAATGCATAATATCAGTTATTATTTACTTTTACCCTATTTTTAAAAGGTTTTAGATTCGTTGATCAATAAACTTAGAACCCATTAAAAATGGTTTAATTTTCATCCTTTTTACGGTGAACTTTCACCGATGTGAACGTTTCTTACGGTGAACTTTCCTCGGGGTGAACTTTCTTCGCGGTGATTTACGGCGGTGAATTTTGTTGCAGTGAACTTATCGGAGACGCTGATAGACGATTATCGTAGATTAGATCATGTAAAATGAGATTTGTTTCAGAATGTATTAGATTAGCACATAAACGATCCACCAAAGTACGACAACCGACTTGACTGAGCTAACTCAGAGGAAGTATTGAATCGAAACGAAAATTCGTAGTGTTTCTCAATAGGTCGCATTTAAACACGTGATTTCATTTTTTAATTTTTAATACTTCTTACTGAAATATTTTCGAACGAGTACAACATTAGGGAAATAAAAATCGATATGTTAAAAAACCATTCATAACAAAAAAGTAATAGTTCATAATAGAAATAATAATTATACCAAAAATAACGATTAAAAACCAATTTATCTGTCTTCTCTCATCAGAGCAAAAGTCAAGGGCAAACAGAATGTGCACAACAACTAAAAAATATACAACCCTTATATGCAAAAAAATATGACATTAAAGACAAATTACCTTTAAGCCAGCCAACCACGCCTGCTTATAGAGAGATGGCTGGTGGGACTTAATGTATACTGGTTTCAAAACTTTCAAGGGATAATCCTTATTAGCCTTACTCAGCACTGAGACCATTTCTGATTTGTAACACTGAACACACTGATAGTTATTAATCTAATTTAACAGGCTAATAGGTGCGTTGATATATCAGGTTCAGTGATATATTAACGCACCTATTAGCCTGGTAGATATCAATGTGCACTGGGGAAAATTTTCAGCTAGCTAAACATGGCATTTTTAGAAGGGTTGTAGTCTCCTCTTTTGAAAATTGGAGTTCTGGCTGGCTTGGATCAAAGTCGTTGTACTCAGAGATCCGATTAAAGACTCGGGTCGTATCAACAAATTATCTCTTCCGACGTACGCTAATCAGCTCTTCGTGATACTTGCTGGTTCTGTGAGCAGGACCGGTCAATATTGTTATGGCATCATGCACTTGGATGCGGGTGTGCATGCTATGCACCCAAATCAATCTCACTGATTCCGTAAACCGTCGTCCCCTAGTTAGCTCACCTCTTCCCTTTATGGATTTTATCATCACTTGTTCAATAATGAGTTCAATTGATAAGCTGGCCCAGTAACGACGCATAAAATGAAACCCGTACTCTGAGAACTGTTGATGCAGCCAAGAATGTTTTTCAGACAATTCTAACATCCACTGGAGTTAAAATCGTGCACTCTTTGCGTAGATGAAATGTGAGGTTGCTACAAATAAATTCAACATACGTCCCACCGTCACAAGATGCAAATTCCAATCACCTGTTTTCTCGGCACAGCTTAAGCGTGTCGATGTACTCAATTTAGGCCAGCCATAAATTTGCTGTTCTTGATTTGTTTCTGAATTCATGTATCAGAGTATTGAGCACTCTCTGCTGATTCAGGAATGCTGAAGATTTGCCAGTTCTATCAGTACTGATTTCATGTCCTCGGAGTTTATTATACAAATAGTTTATTTCATCCACATCAAACTGCCCTAGTTTCTCAGGCAAAATAGCCTTGCACCACATCGCGGAAATTATCTTGACATATACTCAAGAGCTCCTTCACTATCTAAAGGCTCGTCTTCTCCACAATGGCAAAATCCTCTTCCAATACCGAAAGTAATCTCTACCTCATCTGCCTCTGCAACATCAGCTGAGTCCGATAACTAAGAAGTCTATTGGTCAGCATCTGCTGAAAGCTCAACATTAATAAGTTTGCTCCTCAGGGCTGCCTATACAAAGAAGTGTGATCGTAAAGCTCTTGAGACAGCCCTCCCGAAAAGAATGTGTGACACCGAGCTTTTTGCGTATGCTAATCAGTAAACCGGACAATCCTACATCATTCATAAGACTACCGACACTTCCCCAAAAGTTCATGATGGTCTGAAAGCCTCCCAAACTAAACTACTCAAGGGCTAAGGACCATGTTTCACTTTATGCACCTTATTTGCATAGAAAGTGTTGCTCAGAAAAATGACCGTAAAAAATTCTTCATGCTGGATGAGAGAGAAGTTTTTAGCTAATGATACAAAATATGTCTTGGTAACATTTTTTTCCGGGTACACTTATTCACTCTAAATCAACCAGGCTATATGTAAATTGAAAATACTGACTGGTACGTTTTGGTTGATTTCTGCCTTCAACCTTTGATCTGTTCTGCCTGTTCGTCAGTATTGCAATGACATCTGAATTTGTAAATTATAGAAGTAATATGATCGGGGGACAGAACATCCTTTCGGATCGGCACCAAAAATAATACATGCATTGGCAGAAAAATAATGACTTAAACCAAATGAAACTTGCTTAGCAAATCTTACACCCACCTCACCAATCCACGGTAAACACAAATAGACGTGACGGTTTAGATAATTAATGTTTTGTCTTTTTTTTGTTTGTTTTGTTTTTTACATATAACATTACTTTTTTACATATAACATTATTTTTAGACGCTGTGCACATATTTCTTGCTTTTTTATATATATTTATATATATATATATATATATATATATATATATTACCCCTCTTTTTCGTTGTAAATTGTTTCTTTTTTGTTATGAGTGACCGTTTAATATATCTGCTTTTAATGCTCAAATAAAATGTTTTTACGTTAAAGATAAAAATGTATGAAATTGAGATGCATTTTCATCGTTTGAGGCCATGTCATTTCCGGAAAGTTAAAATGCTGTACAAACAGCAAAAAAGATATGTGTCGTTTGTGGAGATGGTTCAATAGCGAGAGTATTGTTCGTAAGTGGAAATTTTAACCTGGAAGACCGAACACGTCCCGGCAGGCCTGCAACTGATGATGACAAAATCAAAACACTGATTTAAAATAATCATATGACACGAGACATCGCAGGGATACTCCAAAATATTCCATATAAACATTGTAAGGCATTTGAAAACACTTGGATATGTAAATTGTAACGGTGTTTGGGTGCCTCGCAATTTGACGGGGGAAAACACTTTAATGAAATTTGTTTCATCTGCAATTCTCTGTTCAAGTGCAACAAAACGAGCCATTTGTAAAGATGATAAAAATTGATTGTTTACAACAATTTAGAGCGAAAAAGGTCATGGGGAGAACGTAATGAGCCGCCATTACGTACTCCAAAAGCCGGATAATCATTTCTAGTCTATACTATTTCTCTACTCTATTCACTATACTCGAGCGAGTATTATCGAGCAAGTACTATTAGTGTGAGTGATATTCGAAGGCGTCTGACACCAGTATTGTTCGACGGCGTTACTTATAACTTATTATATCTGCGATTACAAAGTTTCTACTACAACGAGCATTACGAAAGTCACAGTGAATATTCGTTCGCATCTCAAAAGCGGCAACGAGTGTTCGTTGACATAGCAAAAGTTGTGTGTCTGGTGGAATTAAAAATGTATTGTGTATTAAGGACTCCTCTCACAAAATCAAACTTTGAATTCGGACAAATATAGTTCCCAATTGGATCGATTAAAAGCAGCAATTAATAGAAGGCATCCGGAATTAACCGATCGGAAAAAAGTATAGTTTACCCTCAAGACAACACGCGACCTCACTTTTTTTTTCTTTTTTTTTTTTTCTCAGACACTTCAGAAACTAGTACATCTTTGTTGGGCTCTGTTACTACACCCACCATACTCCCCTGAACTTGAACGTTCGGATTATCACTTATTTCAATCCCTATAAGATTTTCTTAATGGGAAGAAATTGAATTCTCTAGTAGCCTGCCAAACCCCCTTAGATCTGTTATCACCCAGAAAGTTCTTGGAGTTCCAAGTTCTTGGAGGATGGAACCATAAAACTGTCTCAAAGAAGGCAAATATAGTGAAACAAAATGGCATATATGTTATTGATTAAATCTATGCACAAATATCTAAATTTAGTTTAACTTCACTTAAATTCACTTCACTACGATCTTTTGTTACAAATCAATATATAAAAAATAATGGTAGAATACCAATAGCGCCGTCGAAGGCGAGTTGACAAATTCAACTTCAAGAAATCTAGAGCAGTTTTAGGATCGGATAAAGATTAAAAGTGAAAAAATACCTAGAAAACTTTTTATACTCGCAAAATATTTTGTTAAATACGCAAAATTTTGTTCATCTGGAGTTTACACAATTTCTTAATTTACGCTAATATTTTAGTTTTTTTTTTTTAAAGAAAATAAAGTATTACTGTGCGTATAATATAGTGTGAAAAATATCGTTCGTATGATATTGAGTGTATAATGTGTTTATAATACCGTGTATTATATTGTGCATATGATATTATGTATATATTGTGTCAATAAGATTGTGCGTGTATTATAATGTGAATAATGTTGTAGATATGATATTATATGAATAATATTGTTTATAATATTATGTATATGATATTGTGTTTATAATATTGTGCTTATATTTTGCATATAATATTGTATGCATAATCAAACATGTAAGTCATGATCCTCCAATAAATTAATTTCACTAAAATCGCAGTTTCTTGAATGTTATTGCTGACAGCTAAAATGTTATTTCTCCTTAGGTCACTGAATAAGCTTTTAAATTCGGGAATTTAACCATATTAACTATAATAATAACATGTAATCACACCGCTTGAACATTTTATTAATTCCAACAGTAAAAATTAACAAATCTTACTTACGATTTCATTTGGCCAATATAAAGTCAAAAAGGAATGTAATTACGTACCGGGTTCCAGTCGTAAATTGAGCTGTACATATAATTTGGATCGTCCCTTGCGTTATTTTCATGATCGAATTCGTTGAGTTGACATTGATGCGTACTGGCATTTCTATGGTAATTGAACGATTGGCAAGCTGACCTCTTCAAACATATTGATGCGCAAAATTCAATTGACTCAGCGGTAACATTTGCTATGATAGACACAGAAAGTCTTTTGCCTTTTCTTGGTTCTACGAATGGCTTCATAAAACAAGTGGCATATTGTCCCGGTAGCGTGTCTACGCATGCGCTCATTAACCAACAAGCTAAAACCAAACGGATCGTGATCGCCATGACACTGAGTACTAATTGACAAATCTTTAATGAGTTGGTTCTTGATATCGCAGAAGGTAAGAGGGACAACTCATGTGTGTGTTAATAATTTTAAAAAATAAAGATAGTAATACTAATTGTTGCAGTCACAGTGATTATTACGTATATTTTCCGATTATAAAATCTGAATTATTAGAAAACTAGCCTGAACATTTTACTGAATATTGTTGCTGTTGATGAAGAGTTTTTATTCTAAATTTCGGGAAACAAAAATTAAAACCTACGATAATTTTTAGTAACAAGAGAAGAAATCTTTTTTTATTTTTCAAGTTGAGTCGAAAAAATGCCTTTTATTCTGTAATTCTATCTGTATGAAATAATAGAGGCAAAAGTTTTGTGAAAAGTTTTCGTATTTGTGCTGTTATCAAAAATGATCTCGATTTACATTCTATAACAAGATTTTGAATGCTACAATTTCTATAATAAAAAAGAATGATAAATTGTAAAAATATAAATTGTTATAAACTTTTGTAATAGACAATAAATTGATCGTATATCATTTGATAGCCAGCAAAACTAATATGGTCTTTTCTAATTATTTGCACATTGGGGTTTTTATATAGAAGCACAAATTTAGCAAGGTCACTTTTTGAACAAATGTATTTTGAACTTCAGTTATGTTCACGTGATTCATTAAAATGGTTGTAAAAATATTTATTTCTTTGTCGTTTTCCAAACTATAACATATACAAAATTTATATGCCAAATCATTCAAAAAAGTCTCTTTTGTTTGACATCCATTATGATCCGTTAACACGACTCATATTCCAACAAGTACTTTTTCTTTTTACTCGCTCTCCTCACAGATTATCTTGTAAGTGTCAGAAACGTTATTTGTGTTTCAGATTCAAAAATGAATATATATTCGACTTCCACCAAGTTTGTTGTGTCACTATTTTTTTCTTTTTTTGTAAATTATCTTATTTAAAATATTCACAATATCAGCTCACTCGAGGAAGTAAATTTATATACTTGTAAAATTTCCATTAAATCTTCTTTATTTATTTTAAACAAGAGAAAATCGACATTGATCTTGCTGTTGAGTAAACCTTTTCCAGGTTTTCAGCATCTTCACCATAACTGCACTTAAAATCCCTTGAAATCAAATTTTATAAATCTTAATTCATTCAGCTTGAGCATTTTTTCAAATCTGTTTTAGATTCCTGAAAATTTAAATGTACGCCGAATTTTCCACTTTGAAAGAATTTACAATCCAATAAGATCAGGTACGAATATTCCGAAGAGCCATTCTTCATTGAATGTTTGCATATTTCCAAATAAAATTAAAAATAAACATTTATTCCTTTTTTTTTTTTTTTTTTTTGAGAAGCTTCTCGTGATTAAGCAAATTTCTTTACAATTTTCTTCGGTACGAAAGAAGAAAAACCTTTAAAATTAGTCAGTCGCAAGGTAAAAGTAAAACACTTATTTATTTGTATTATATGAAATTGCTATTAATCTGTCTCTTGGCTTCAGTGTTGCTCAGATATTTTACGAGGACGATGAGAATATTTTACAACTAAAAAGTGTTCTATATCAGAAGATGGCTATTTGTGTACTGATGTCGGTTCATAATGTTAACAGAATATGATGTCTCGATATGGTTGACAGCTACACCCACTTTTTAAAAAAGTGGTCCATTGGCAAAGCTAAACAATTGGGTTGTGCTAAGATCATTATCATCAATTGGGTGGAGCTAAAACAATTAGCATAAATTTATTGTATTGTTGAGGATATTTTACAACCAATCAGAATTGATAATTGATAGAATGTCTTTTTTTTTATATGGTGTATTAATATTTTTATTGTTAGGCAAATTCATGAATAAAACATTGTTTCGCTTTTATGATCGTTTTGTTTATGTTAATATTTGCTTAATGAAAACATCAACATATGTGGCTTTTTTCTCAATCGATAATCTCCAACTAACTGGCCAATAATGGAAAGGTTAATTTTCTGCGTCAATTTTCCTAAGAAGATTACTGTTGCTAAATACATTATTGATATTTGGTTGTATGTGTATGTGGGAGGATATATTGCGGGTGTATTTGCGTATGTATATGTATGTATGTATATGGGTACGTGGCCGAGTGGTTAGAACAGTTTGCTTTCTGACCATGAAACCCGCGTTCGAATATCACCATGGTCAATTTGTCAAAAAGATGTTATAGGTCTGTAGCAGGCGACCATAGCGTTTCTTTGGAAAGTGCCTGAAAACCATAACACGAGTCGACCCAAGCCTTGTGAGTGAAATTGGGTAGACAGAACTCTTTGGAGGCCGTCGATGGCTGTTCTAGTACGAAGTCACAAGTCATCATGACCGAGGGTATGAGTGTGCTGTTCCCGTTCAGATTGCTGATCATGCTAGATAACACGCTCACACCCAGAAACCGTAACTAAAGTCTGCTCGGCATAATTGCAGTATAAATAACAGGTAAGCTCTGTGGGTGTTGAACAAACACAAATGTACCTGGTGTCTGCAACAGGAATTGGCTAGTCCCCCTAGTAGACGGATATCCTCGGATACGAGTGGCCAATTATTATTATATGTGTCCATGTAGATGTGAATATGAAGGCAACAACAAAGATGAGGACAATAGTCCGGATGTTGTGTAAATAATGATAACTCCTCATCCCAGATTTTCAGACAGATTTTTTTTCGTCCATAGCATAATCTTTTCTTTTTACCTCTCCTTATTTCTCCCTGACACACATTATCAGAAACATAAAAAAATTCAAAAATTTCAGAGAAGTTAAACGAACTGAGGAGTTTTGCCACTACCCTCTTTGAGTCGTGTCTTTGTGAGCCGATGTGCAAACAGCAGGCAAATTACCACTTCGAAGAAGACAGTGGAAACTATGTATTATGGTAATGAATGTTCTTTCATGCACAATTTTTTCGAACGTCTAGGTAGCATCTTGTAAAGAACTAAAGTTTTCGTTAGGCACATGTGTTCCTAACGAAAATTTTATCAAAACAATATAAAAGAAAAAAAGAAAACATATATCAATTCTCTCTCTCTCTCTCACACACACACACACACACTTGTCTGGAAATAAACGCACATATCAACTGAAAATCTCAAACATATAGTGAAATGTCAGTATTGTACCCAACACGAAAGAGTGCCATAACTTGTACAAAATAGAAGCACAGCTGATGACTCCATACGAACAAGATGCCTAATACCAAGTATATCGAATGGGTTTTGTTGTACAAGGTCATATTTTTCAGTTAATAAAATCCAACTTGTATTTTCTGAGTGACAGCAAGTAAAAGTTAACCTTCAGAAATTTGCCTTTAACTAAATTCGAACACTGACTAACAGCGTTAAAAGTAAACTCCTTGACAATGTGCTCAAAGAAAAACCTTGGTCGGTTCTACACAGTTTTTTATTTATTTATCTGACTTTCTGGCATTCGGTAAAATCGTGTGCTTGTAAAAGTTTCCATATTTACTTGGTAAATGCGACTATATGAGCAATAACAGTCGGCGCGCAACAAGTAAGAAATGCCAACGAAATTAGTCTCGATGGATGTGACTTTTCCCGTACATTGGTAACACAATGATTTCATCGAAAACACATGTCTTCGATCTACGTGAATATATGCGCTCACCCTCTCATACATACAAACAAACACAAACGTGGGCACAAAAACATCCATTTAAATTATATATATATATATATATATATATATATATATATATATATATATATATATATATATATATATATATGTATGTATATATGTGTGTGTGTGTGTGTGTGTGTGTGTGTGTATTTAAGGAAAATTTATTTCAGCTGATGGCATTTCGTCCTCTGAGGTCTTTATGAAGGCAATATATATATATATATATATATATATATATATATATATATATAAACAATAGTGAAAAATGTGATTTGACATGTTTCGCCAAAATTTCATTTGAAGAAAGCAAATGCTTTTTTACGTTCAGCGTCTAATAGCTCACTCCTACACATATATATATATATATATATATATATATATATATATATATATATATATATGCGTGAGGCGTAACGGTTCTCAGCGCATAAATGCCGAGTTCAAATTCGAGAAATAGCCTTATGAAAGGTATGAATCTTCCCTCCCCACCTCCAGTTAGAGATTAAAATAGCAAAGCATCTTGGTTGGCAACCAGGCAGGTAGAAACACTACTCTTGATTTAAAACCGGCAGAATGGTTTGTTTACCTAAACAAATCGGTGGTGACATTAAATGGCTTGAATAATGCGACCAACTGGGCCAAATCAGCACCTGACACCAATTTCATCAGTTAAGGTGTCAACATCATATATAAACTTTAGCCTAATTCTCTTAAACTAATTACACACTTATACACACTATAAAATAATGACGTTTGCCAAATGATAGCACCTGAATGGCAATTTAGAAATATTCTTAGAAGCCTTTTTATTTTTTACCCTTATTACATTGCCGTCTTGTTTCACTATGCTCTTTGTCAGAATTATAAAAGGTGTTGAAAAGAGAGAAAATAGCAACACTTAAACCGACATTTTCAACACTTCTCTTACAACATGACACATCGTGTCCTTTGTTGTATGATGCAAGAAGTAGAAGGCAATATTATTTTCTGTTTTTGATTTTTTTTTTTTTTTATTCGTTGTTTGTAAGGTTGCAGTATGGTTGCTAAGGGAAACGAATTAGCGATTTCCACCTGTCATTCGTATTGCTTTTCTATTTTCTTCCTATTGATCACTGTCTTGGAAGCGGCAGGAAAGAGAGAAAAGTGTCAATATAACCTGCTTGATGTGTGGTAACCCCACCCCTTCCTTATATTCTGATGTCATCTAGCACTAAAAAAAGGAGAAAAAGGTTATTTAATTA